TAATCAAATATAAAAAAAAGTTTGCACATTTTGAAAAAATCTTGAAAAACACTTTACACTAATTTGAATAATATTATTTTTTGTTGATCTCTATGAGAAAATAAATTTAAAAAGTACCAATTATGGGCCAAAAATTTATACCCCCCTCCCTTTATTAAACGTAATTTACATCATTAATTAAATTCTGTTGATTAATTTCAGACTGGTAATGAATTAAGAATATGAAATATCTATGAGGCTCATGGGTCACATGGTCGCCTGAGCATATTATGCTCGATTTGATGAATACATGTATTATGTAAATTATTGAATTATATTGATTTCTTTCCTTGGTAAAGCCCAATTTGAAGGAGTGTGCATTTAGAGGCAAACACCTTAGTGCGGGTATTACTGTCTCATGACAGCATCGTGTTTTTAAATACAAGAAATATAAGAAGAATCCTACATGTACCTTATGTCGAATTCTGATTGACGATTTTAACACTTCTTTGCAAACTGATTTGTTTTAAAGAAAGTTTGTATTTGGGGGGTAGCATTATGACATGACTAGTTTTGATTTCATGTTATATCCTTTGACTCAAGATCATGCGCGGATCTAGAGGGGGGGTCGGGGGGGGGGGTCAGGACCCCCCCTGGAATTTACCAGGTTAAAAAATGTATATACGAAAACAAGAAAAAAGTTACCATGGACCTCCCCTGGAAAACGCTGACCCCCCCCCCCCCCCCCCCCCTGGTAAACGCAAATATGTGTGAAATGGGTATGAAAAGTGAAAGATTTGAGGCAATAGAAGTCACCATTCCCCCCCCCCCCCTCCGCCCACGAAATAGGTTTTTGACGTTTGAGCGACTTTAGGTTTTTTTTTTTTTTTGCTTGTCAAGAAATTTCTGGGATTGGATTTTTTTTTGACTGGGGTGGACCCCCCCCCCTGAAAAAAATTTCTGGATCCGCGCCTGCAAGATAGCTACATTATTCTACAATATTACCACAGTGAGTAAGATATATTTAGAGTATGAGTTTCCTACTGTATCAGATACAGCACGGGACTTGAGGCGAGAGTGATAGCTCGAGCCGGACCGCACCCTGCATCTCCGATTAAATAGGAAACGACTATTCTAAATGACTTGTGACATGTTCTTTGTAATGACCTCACAGATTTACATGCGTAACTGGGTACATATCGCTGATACGCTATTGCACAATATATTTCATGATAATTTCATATAAATAAAATCTGTGTCCAAGGACATTTAAGAAAATGCTGTTATGATTTGTAATATTTCTTAACTTTTACATTTTTCGCTCTACTGGTCAAAGACCAGAAGAGCTTATGCGATAGTAATGCGTCCGTTGTCCGTCCGTCTGTCTGTCTGTAAACAATTTTTCAAAATGCTACTCCTCGTACAGTTTTGGTTTGATTTCAATATAATTTGGCACACAAGTAGACTACACTAAGGTACATAATTTTGTATATCGGTTTTTGAATTCGATGAACGGTGTTGCCGTGGTTACTAAAAATAGAAACTTCTGTGAAATACTTTTAAAATGCTACTCCTACTACAGTTTTGGTTTGATTTCTATGGAAAGCCAACGAGTTCAAAATTCCATCTCTGTAATTCTTAAAATGTACACACGTAAACCTGAATTTTTAAAATTGTAAATCTTAATTTCATAATTTGTCTGACAATTTTTCTTTCACAATTTGTTAATTGTAATTTATCAAACATAAATTGAAAAGTAAATGCAAGTTATGTAAATGATCACGTGTAATTCGTAGACTTGCGATTTGTCAACTTATGAAATGTACTTTCTTGATTTGTAAATTATGCAAGGTTGCATATTAAGACAAAGAGCGCGCTATAAGGGTGGCAAGTCATTTCGCCCCGAAGCTAAACAAGAGGCCCGCGGGCTTTATAGGTCACCTGAGTATCATGAAATAACTTTCCAGCAATTGAAGTTGGTTCGTGTTTTAAACCAAAAGCCGTGAAATTCACAATTCTGAAAGAGGAACCGTTGCTTATCAAAGAGCAGATTTCAAAGGGTTAATTTATTTTTAGACAAAGTACCCCCCTTCCGATACCCCTGACCCTGGGGCCTGAAATTATCCACTTTGAAAGAGACACCTTTCTTCATCATAAGGCCAGCATTTTTTTAAAATCATTTTTATGTTTAGTTACATCAGAATGAATAAGTCCCGGAGGAGGAGGAAATAAGAAAAATAAAAAATTTTATTTGGATAAATTAATCATCGAAATTTGTACATTCATTTTTAAGCGCTAAGCGCAGCGCAAAGCGCTTTCTGTCAGCGTAAATCTACTTCCGTTCCGGATCCAGCGCCACTATAAGCAAGATAGATAACTCAACTTGTTATTCTAAAAATATACAACTGGAAATCCCTGACTCTCTTTCTCCTATATTTTAGTGTACTGCTGCGTTACGCGCATTTCTAATAATACAAGGTAATTAGTAAGGTTTAAGGATGTTCCACAGCTAGTAGATAAGAGCAGTTCTTATCATGCTCTTCTCTACACATTGTAGTTCATTTAAATCATGTCGGCACACATTACTTTGGTTCCATGTAGCTTACAATTGCTGCCTCTATGGCGCAAATACTAGTACTTAGTTTAAAAACAGTATATTATTTATCATGTACATGCAATATAGTGATTGAATATTCAATACGTACCCGATACATGATTTAAAACTCAGATGGGATTTTGATAAAATTTTAAATCTCAAACTGGAAGTGAGTTATTCAGTAAAAGAAATCACATGAAATTGATTTACAATGTACTACTCACATAATATGGTACGTTCTACTAGTATATATCCATGTAAACTATAATTATTTTTTTCTAGACATTTATTTCAGACAATGTAACTATAAATCAAGCCTTACTATTAACATCTTGCACCATGCTGAGATTTATCAGTGACCTCAGTTTTCGCATCTAAGTATCAATTAGTAACAGACTGGAATGCATTCAACATGTTCAAGGACGGTCTTTTTTAATGTCTATACTTGTGTTGTACATAATTCGAAAGGAAGGCAGTTTGTGGCTGTACAGACATGCAGGACATGTAGTGGTTGTGTTTTCAACGGATCCACTCAAATAGTAAATCTTATTTCCCGGAATACATGTATTGTGCTCTAAAATTGTGCGTGTTGTTTGCAGGATATGGCGAAAAATGCTAAAACCTTTATTAACGTTCTTAGCAATGGACAGAAATAGAGCTGATGAAATGTTAAGCAAACGGTGTAATACTTGAAGTAGGGAACTAGGATTAAATAGTTTATGTAAAGATGTGTCTCAGCTGTGTTGCCGATTCTTAATGAAGAGTAATAAAAACATAATAAAATAATGTTCAGTTGTATACCTTCATGAAGATTTATTAAAACTTGAGATTAATACTGTATTTTCTTTCTTGGACTCTTGAATTATTAATCATTGAAATAGCAGAAATATTATGAGCAATTATTTTCAGTTTTCCATTCCAACTAGCACAACAGTGCTGTATATATGTTTTTTCCCTCTCAACATGTTTTGCATGGTAGTGAAGATCATAGATACACAAGTGAAAAATGGTGAAAAGCATCAAGCGTCCGCAAAAAAATATTGAAGCATTTTAATTTATTTCAACAATAGTCAAAAATACCTTTGGGAGTTTCATGACGTATTTTTAATAAAAAGAAGAAAAGTGTAAGATTTTTTATTGCAAAAGCGTATCATTTACTATTGAGTGACACATATTGTATATCAACACAAATATTACTGCAAATACATATACGCCATAAATCATATATTTGAAAATCAGAGATAACAGAATAGTATCAAAAGATAAATATAAAATCTTTATACTAAAATATATTTACATATTATCTCTGACATAAAGGGCGTTAATTCTACGGATGTTCGTTTCTTTTGCATAGAGCTTTGTCATATGATGTTGTTACAAACATGATTCCAATCTTCAATTTGAAATACTTGTAAACGCAGAATGAATTTGTTATTAAATATGATCACCAGAAGATTTTATCTTTCAGTGTTGCACTTAAATGAGAGGAATTTTAGCGACATTTTCAAGTGTTCACATTTTTTTTTCAAATACAATGTAAACATTTTCCAGCAAAAGTATAGCTACATCTACATTTAGAGTTTAAATTTCATCGGAAAACTCGATTACTATCTCCCTTCCCTTCCAATAAATTGCAATTTATACGTAAATACGACCTCTTATAGATTCCTACAAGGCGATGGGGAAAGAAAATATTTTTACACGGAAAAATATTCTTGCAATTTCGTGTACAGTACTGTAAGTAAAATTGATTGATCTTTTACGAAGATAATGTATAATTATGGCAAGCCCTTTTACTATTTATTCGGAAAATAAAATTTATCTTAAAATTACAAAGATATCTCTCATTTTAGGGAGATATCTCTTTAAAAATAGAGATATCTCTCAACTTAAAGAGATATCTCTCATTTTTAAGAGATATATCTATGAGAAAGAGATATCTCTTAAACTTGAAGAGATATCTCTTATACTTAGAGATATCTCTCTTCATGTTTTTTAATTAAATTCCATTTCAAATGACTTCTCCCTTACCGGAAGTAAGCTTTTTATTGACGGAAATACTCAAATTAGAAATAGTTGATTATTTCATAAGCTGAGAAAATTCGGTCCATTGCATTTGAGATTATATATGGACAAACACCACCAAATGTTTTCCCATAGACTTCCATACAAACGTGAGCCCCTCTCACTGATACATATATTGAATTTCGGGCAAATGACCTTTTTGTCGTGAAAGTTCGAGATATTGGAAAACAAAACATGCCAGAAAAAATATATGGTCACGCGGCACTTTTACTTTCAATTTCCATTTGTTTACAACAAGGTGCGTTTGACACCAACTGAAAATCTCTAACCAAAGAGCACCCCTCCCTTCAAATTTTTACCTGTTACTCCTATATATCTCAAAGAAACCCAAGTCTTGATATGAGATTTTTATCAACTTTATTTCACTTGTCAAATACATAACAAGTCTTTTCTCTTATTGACCAATCACGCGCCAGGTAGCATTTTCTCCTCCGCACAACTTTGGGTGTCCAAAATGTCTGCGCCCATGTATTTATTTATGTAGGGGTTTTTCCTATAGAGTAAAAGAAACATTTATAAAAAGTGATCAATTTAGTAAATTTAGAACATATATCCATTGCTTATCTCACCTCTTGAATATTGGGACTGACAGTCTTAGCTTAAGTATACCATTGGCTGTTACATTTCACACCCCAGTCAATCAGACCAACATCTGTGAAACAGAAAAGATGTCTATAAATTGAAGCATTTTTCTATTTTTCTTTCAAACTTTTAAAATAAAATGATTAATCTAGCACATGGTTTGCTTGTTTTTCTTATTATCTCTAATAATTTCTCAAGGTAGATCATATTAATCATTCAGGGTAGCAGGTACCCGTTATTAATGAAAAATGAAGAAAATCAGCAGGTTTTTGTAAGAAAAAGCTGGGTTATGGAAAGAGTGAAAACTAATGTAGATAAAATAATCAATGGAAAGAAAGAGAATTATATCTAGTTCAAATGTACATAAGATTAAAACAAATTCCATCAGCAGTGGGTTGCTGGCATCAGAGAATCAAATACATCCCCACTGAAAATTTTGTAATTTTGAAGGGGGGTGACCTACATTTTAGCCAATTTTCATGAACATTTCATGTAATTGATGTTGAATATGTATATTCTCATAAAAGGCAAATATATTTATTTGCATATCATTTCTTATTATTGACATAATTAATAAATTGATTAAATGCCAAGGGCAGATAAATCATATTGTCTGACTGAATACAGTGCTCAATTGTACGCAAAGTGTTTAAATAACCGCAGTTCTGAGGAAATTTATTTTCTAATAATCTATAAAAAGTTCTAAATAACTTAAATATTAAGAGATTAACTAGATTTTCGAAGAAAACCATACCTTGGAACTCTTAATGAAAGCAAAGGGATCATCCCGAGAGTGTCCATGTGTTGTTCATTGTAAGAGGGTAGGGTTCATTAATCTCTTCCTTCTTGATAATGCATTGCTGAAATACATTTTATTTTATTAAAACATACTAATAAATGCATCTAGTAGCTTATATAATAATTTTTAATTATTTACACCATCTTTTGAAATTTTTTTAAGCATTTGTGATGTAATACCTTTAAAATAAACATGTTAAAATAGAATTTACTCAGATAATTATTTCAAAAAATATCAAAGAAATTGAAAAAAAAAATAACTGCAGATAAATATGACTCTTGTTATTCAAATAAACCCAATTTAAACAAAAATCCTTCATTTTTCAGCATGATTAGAGCACAAAATTACCCCCCCCCCTTTTCAGCAGAATATCAAGATTGGATATGGCAAGGAGGCGGGATATTCAGACACCTTTTTCATAATTTTTTTAGTTATAATTTTGCATATTTATTGCATTTTCAATGTATTTTCTGCACAAATATATTGTACTGTAATTTCAATTAAATTTCCTACAAGTAATCTCTAAGTTTCACCAAAAGTATAACTTTTTTTTCAAGCCAGCACTGATTACATGACTGAAACTGGCTTTTCTGCTGGATTATGCCCCTTATGTAAAAACAAAGTCACCTAATTAGTTAACAACAGTCAAATTTTGTTATAAATTATTCAATCAACTCTGATTAACACAAATTTGAAAGAGGATTACTCAATCTGTTCCAATGTCTACACTCATAAAATACATGGATTTAAATGAATTTCTCAAACTGCGAGGGGGATATTCATATGTTTTGTGTATTGATGATGCCCATAAATATTGATATTGTATTATTTACAATATTCACAGTAAATTTCAGCATAAATATTTATTTAAAACTATTCACATGTACATTTATTGAAAATATGAGAGCTAGGGCAAAATTTTGGCATTTTTTTTACTATGTGCAGTCCCTATCGTGAGCCTCAATTTACCCAAACCCTCTAATTTTTAAACAAATAGTTAAAACTAACTAAAATATAATCTCAATGCCAAAAAAATAGGAACTGATTGATTTTTTGGCTGTAATCAATGTTTATCGATGAAATCATACCTTTTCTATAGGACAAACACCACCAAATGTTTTCCCATAGACTTCCATACAAACGTGAGCCCCTCTCACTGATACATATATTGAATTTCGGGCAAATGACCTTTTTGTCGTGAAAGTTCGAGATATTGGAAAACAAAACATGCCAGAAAAAATATATGGTCACGCGGCACTTTTACTTTCAATTTCCATTTGTTTACAACAAGGTGCGTTTGACACCAACTGAAAATCTCTAACCAAAGAGCACCCCTCCCTTCAAATTTTTACCTGTTACTCCTATATATCTCAAAGAAACCCAAGTCTTGATATGAGATTTTTATCAACTTTATTTCACTTGTCAAATACATAACAAGTCTTTTCTCTTATTGACCAATCACGCGCCAGGTAGCATTTTCTCCTCCGCACAACTTTGGGTGTCCAAAATGTCTGCGCCCATGTATTTATTTATGTAGGGGTTTTTCCATATGTATGCTTACTTTCGTTTTCCTGAATATTAAACTTTTAGCATTTTTATCAACGAAGTTACCATTATTATTTGTTGTTTCAAGTAAAGGATTTATAGCATTTTTGTCTACAGTACATGTATTATTCTGGGTAATTGCTAATTGCTCAGTCTTTTTTCTTACAACATCGTAACTATTCCAGAGACTTTACTTCCTGTTTCACTTTCGTTTTAAAGTGGAGAATTAATTATTCTATTTTAAGCATCACTGAAAAAAGAGATATCTCTTTAGCTTATAAACATATCTCTTTTTGAAAATCTAAAGAGATATCTCTCTAACTTTAAGAGATATCTCTTTTAACCTTGTTAAAGAGATATCTCTCTAACTTTAAGAGATATCTCTCACGCTTAAAGAGATATCTCTCTAGCTTATAAAGATATCTCTCTAACTTTAAGAGATATCTCTCTCACAAAAAGAGATATCTCTTTTGTTTAAAGAGATATCTCTCTAAGGTATAAAGATATCTCTTTTAGTCAAAGAGATATCTCTGTAAGCTAAAGAGATATCTCTATGTGTTAGAGAGATCTCTCTCTTATTGAGAGAAAATTTTTATTTCACGAATAAATAGTAAAACGGCTTGCCATATATAATGCTTGAAAAAAAGGCATGAGACAATGTTGAATTTCATATCCCAACGGCGGGGTTCACATATTCAGGACTCACATACTTTTTGACGACTGTGCTCGACCTAGCGCTATCGCACTGTCGAAATATCGCTTAAAATTCAACACAACAGGTGACTTTAAATTAAAATAATTCTGATGAATTTCAAATCAATATACTTAGCGCTTCCCAGTAATTTCAGTACTTTGATTGGTTCTTTTTTTGCTATCCTAACAGGCTCCTTGCCACAGGACACATAAAGGTTACAAATAGGAAAGTAGAACGTTTAATTGTTTATTTTATCATCTGCAATTTTGTGATGTTGATCAAAAGATATTTTTAAAAATCAATTCTTTAAAACAATATATCTTCATTTCTTTTAATATGTGTAAGGTGAATGTGTAGACATTGTTCTAAAATGCACTTAATACTTAAAATTATAATTCCCATCATAAAACAGACAGGGAGTACTGGGGAGTAGGGTGAACATTTTTCAGTTAAGTGTAAAATAATTTTTCTGGATGCCACAAACAACACTACATGCCTGTATACATGTATACTAGTATTTGTATATACTTGCTTTTTAATAGTTGATTTTTTTTTCATTTCTTCAGGCTTTTGTTTATTTCTTCCTCAAATGGACTTAACTTATCCCATAGTTTTATTCATTACATCTGATGCATAAGCGACCCTTTTCTGAAGAATGATGCTTAGACTATAAGCTATAACAGAGACCTAAACAAAGTCGCTTACAATAGCTACCACGGGCAGTTTTAAACCTGTTGGAGGAAAATAATTTACACACAAATACTTTTGAATATGAATACATTATTATCTCACCAGCATGTCATTGTGCAACAAAGTCGTCAGCATTTTATTTGTCCTTCGAACGGGTGAAACGTTTTGAATGCCACTCCTAATCCTATCGATAAATTTTTACACTAAACCAAGCTACGGTGCTGCTATGAACTTGACAGATCTACCTTTATTTACCCCTCACTGCCTGACGTCACGGCGTCAGGCTGTATAAGGATTGATATTTGCAAGATCCGAAACTAATAGATCATACCTAGAGAGCTAGATTTTGTGCAAGCTGATTTACATTGGAATTCTTTACCTGCATTTTAAAAGAAACAGTTTTCAGAAAAAAGAATGATATTACTGATGCAAAATACTTTAGTATTTACTTACTCTAGTCTTTTTCCATGGAACAATTATTCAATGTGATTCACCGTTTCAACATGTCCGTGTATCTTTTTATCTGCATTTCTATACTACTGGATCAGTCCATTTATATTCTACGAAATGGGTGAATCGCTCTTTTCGCGCCAAATGACACTTAGTAAGCGCATGAATTTTCCTTGAATAGTTCTATTGTGTGAATGGGTGTACTAACTTCTATGGAATTAAATAAAGTTTGTCCTTTTTAACCTCCTCCTACTATTTCAGAAATTCTATCTACAAATTTTATCCCATTCTTTTAAATGTTTAAGTAACATATCGTATATAGCAGCACTAAAGAAATGATTTTTTCTGATTTGTTTCCCGATCCCGCGGTTGTTTACTACATAAATGGACTAGTCCAATAATAAACAACGCAGTTCAACAAGTCGTGGTCTCCAGATGCATGAACATTTGTATCCCCGTTTCAGATGCACACAATATAGATAAGAAACCAGTACAAAACCTTGGATTTTTCTTTACACAAAGTCCTAAACATTGAATTTTCTTATTTCATTCTTCATATATGATAGTGGCACTACCCCTCCCCCCCTCCTTTTTAGGAAAAAAAATTAATGAACACACATTACTAATGTTTACTTCAGTGGAATAAATACACTACGACAAAATGTGTATTTTTAATTATATCCATCTTTTAAAATATTTACAATGCATGATTTTATTACAGATATTAATGATATTACATGCATATAATTATAGGTGTAATGAAGCTTTCAATTTAGATCTCCACTTGCAGCCCTCCCACCCCTCAAACAGAATAACAACTCTTTAGTATGCAGTGTAGAGATGATTCTTCTGTAAGTTAAATAAAACCAAGGATTTCATTTACACAAGGTTTTCAAAATATAAATTAAGGTCATATTTTAAACCCACAAAAGTATTGCTCCTCTTGCAGATATTGACTGAGTAAGTCAGGCAAGCTTTTTAAAAAGCTGTTACTTGTGTTCCATCTTAAAACCGGGAGTACGAGTTCGTAAAATTGAAATCTCGATCCCGACTCAAATCTGACATCGGAAGAAAAAATTCTTTTTTTTCTGTAAATTCAAACTTTGAGCGGCGGGTTTGTAAACCTGAAAATAAAAAAAAAATGCTGGCCTTAAATATGTAATTGGATCATTGGAATATTAACCAGGAGCAAAGAAAAGATGTTGAAAGAATTTGTGCTTTTTCACTATATAATCAATAAAGCCCCACCCTAACACCAGAACACCTGACCCAGGGGCCATGACATTCACAAATTAGGAAGAGGCAGCCTTATTCAACATAACTATGTACTTGGTTAGTCTACTTAATGCCCAGGGGTAGAGGAAAAGATGTTTAAGGAATCCACCCTAACACCAGAACACCTGACCCAGGGGCCATGACATTCACAATTTTGAAAGAGGCAGCCTCATTCAACAAAACTTTGTACTTGGTTAGTTTATTTAATACCCAGGAGCAGAGAAGAAGATTTTAAAGATTATTTATGCAATTTCACTATATAATAAATAGAGCCCCGCCCTAACACCAGAACCCCTGATCCTGGGACCGTGAAATTCACAATTTTGGAAGAGGCAGCCTTATTCAACATATATAACTATGTACTTGGTAAGTTTACTTAATGCCCAGGAGCAGAGAAGAAGATTTTCAAAGAATTTATGCATTTTCACTATATAATCTATTTAGCCCCGCCCTAACACTAGAACCCCTGACCCAAGGGCCATGAATTTCACAACTTTGGTAGAGGACTCAGTCAATGCTGATTACAATTATGCCAACAGTTTGACTGCTTGATGTCCAGGAGTAAAGAAGATTTTTAAAGATTTGATTAATTTTAGTGCTTTTGACCCACCCCCCAGGCCCCAGGGGGGTAGGGACCATGAAATTCACAATTTTTGTTCCCCTTTACCCATAGATGCTTTGTGCCAAATTTGGTTGAAATTTGTTCAGTGGTTTCAGAGAAGAAGCTGAAAATGTTCAAATGTTAACACACGATGGACGACGACGGACGAAAACGGATAGCAATAGGTCACCCGAGTTTACTCACGTGACCTATAAAGATCCTTGACCAATTGAGTTTTGTGATTTGCATGTATTTCTTTTTATAACACTCTTAGTAATAAATACAGGGCCCGTTTTACAAAAGAACTCACAACTTAGACCAAAAACTTCAGATGACTGTAAAATTTTGCAAATTTAAGAATTCTCTTTGAAATTGTTTGTGTAAAAATATCTTAACACATTCCTTCTAAAAAGTCTTAAATAATTTTCGATATAATGTTAATTAAAAAGTGATATGAAGAATTCAATTTGATCTTAAGTCGTAAGTCCTTTTGTAAAACAGGCCCCAGGTTTTTTGCATATGCGATATAGCTGACGTCACAATAGCCGTATCAGCCCTGCCTTCGGCCCTCTGGCTGATACTGGTGTCTCGGGCTGATACAGGATGTGATATGGAAAAGGGTATGTTTTATTCTCTATGTAACACGACTAAAACGTCCAATACAAATATAAGAAATAAAATATCTTTTTTAAGAGTTTCATTGAGTATGACAAGAAGTCGGTACGTGATCAATCTACCATAACGCCCTTCGGGCGTTATAGAATTTGATCACGTGACCGACTTCATGTCATATCCCAATGAAACTCTAAAAATTATGCCTTCGAACGGTCTCTTAAGCTGTTTACAAATAAGATTTAAGTTTATTACAGAATAGATCGGGGAACACACAAAGCTTCGCTCCTATATACGGAGGACAGGCGCGGATCTCGGGAATTTTTTCCAAAGGAGAGCGAGGTGCACCCCAGTCAAAATAATCCAAACCAAAAATTCTTCGACAAGCAAAACAAAAAACTTATTTCGTGTTGGTTGTTGTGGTCTGTGTGTGTGTTGGGGGCGGAGGGGGTCCAAAGTCATTTTCTATGTGCTTCAGTATATACATTTAATAAGTCTGTACATTTCGGGGGGAGGGGGGTCTGGTTTCCCAACCCTCCCCCCTCTAAATCCGCGCACGGAGAGGTGCCGAGGGAATAGAACCCAAAAGTTTTTTTTTTCAGTTTTATGAAGAAGCGTAAAGACTGGGCACGTAGTATCGGAGGGCGGCTTCCCCTTCCCGCTTTTTCTCGAACATGTCTTACTGTAATTTAGCATCAAAACCCATCATAACTATGGATCGAAATTGTCTTGTGAAAAGTAAGAACCATACCACACCCAGGTGTGACCCTCCCCCAGGGATTCAGATAAAAGTGTCAGTTATTTTGCTGGGTGCCCCTTTCAAAAACTTGATAGATACATTAGGACTAGATTTATCATGTGTTATGTTTTTGTTTGATCGTTGGGCCCAAGGCACGGAAGCCTGTTTTCTGAACCTCATTTTGTTTCATGAGGATGCATGGAATGGACTATATGTAACCCAACAATACTGAGATGTTGGGATGTGTTAGGCTCTATAAAATCATCTGATTTATTCAATGAGTCGTGCAAAGAGAAGACCCACCCCTTCCTAGTAGTGTGTTAGTCTTAAATCTGACGGAATATTATAAAATATATTAAAGATTATTTATAAACACAAAAAAGTCATATGTTTGGAAGAAAAAAAGAGAGGAAAACTACGTACTTAATATATTATCACTTCAAAAAAATTTTAATTCAAATATTCCGTATATACAAAGTAATGTGTACTTTACAAAGACATGAATGGGTCTGTCAATACACGTATATTTTGAAAATGAGGAAGGAGGGGCTTCATGTCCACAAAAAAACATCCAAACGCCAAAAAAATTTCGTGTGTGTGTGCGGAGAGGGGGGATAATGGACAATTCTTTTTGATAAGCTGTTTCAAATATTTATATGACTTTTCTACTTATTTACGAGAGGTTCATAACTCCTGAAAGGGGGGGGGGGTGTCCAAGGTTATTTCTTAATTGTTTTACTGTATAAAAACCATTAATGAAAATCAAAGGGGGTCGATCCTGGCCTCTATAACCCCAACCCCCCTCCTGCAGAATCTGCCAGTAATACTTCAGAAAAGGCTTTTAAAAATATTGAATGTTACAATCGAAAATTATTCAGGATTGTTGGGAGCATTTACTAGAGTATACCCCTGTTAATACACGATTATTTACAAACAGTCTGAAAGGCATGAAATTAATTTATAAACATATCTTCAGCCTTTCTTTATATTTTTGCCCGGTAGGACGCATTCATCATTGTCGTCGTCCTTTACACCCTGTGGTGTGTAGGGCAGCAACAAACTTCCTCCACTTTTGTCTATCCTGGTCCAGCCGCGTCAATGATCCTCAGGTCTGGTGCATTGCTGGACGCATTGAGGAAATGATTAGATTAAATTATTAAGCAACGAATTAGCCTGCCACCCTTATAGCGCCCCCTTTCGTCTTAATAGGTGTTAGCATACTGCAACCTTGCATATCTCACAAACCAAGAAAGTACAATTTACATTTCATAAGTTGACAAATCTTAAGTCTACGGCAAAACTTGCATTTATATTTTACACTTTTCAAAATACGCATGGATAGTTACAACTAACAAATTGTGAAAACACAATTGACAGATTATGAAATTAAGATTTACAATTTACATGTGTACATTTTAAGAATTACCGAGTTGGAATTTTGAACCCGTTGGCTTTCCATACATTTCAGTATAACTTTGCACACAAGTAGACTACACTAAGATACATAATTCTTTGTATCGGTTTTTGATTTCGATGAACAGTGTTGCCGTGGTTACTAAAAATAGAAATTTCTGTGAAATATTTAAAATGTTACTCATTTAAGTTTAATTATGATATAATATGGCATGCAAGTAGACTACACTGATATACATAATTTTCAGTTTTGTGTTTTTGATTTTGATGAACGATGTTGCCATGGTAACTAAAATTAAAATTTCTGTAAAATTTTATGAAAAGCTATTCCTGCAATTGTAGTCTTATTGCAATCTTGCCACAAGAAGAGACTTAGGCAAGGATCATTATTATATTTTTTGCTTTAATAAAGTTTCATGTCCCAAATGCTAAGTACTTTCTCTTTCTTTATTATAAGTACAAACCAGTAGAGCTACAGTCTTGACAGAGACTTCTGGTTTTGTTTGTAAATCGGCTTATAATTTTACCAGAATAACAAAAACGTGTACTAGAAAGACGAATTATATAGTTTGAGAAGGAACTGACGCTGATTTGGGAAAAAACAACAAAACAAAAGCACTTTTTTTTATTATTTATTTTAAAAATACGTAATAACATTAAAATAAAAATAATAATGGACTTCTTGGAGAGGTAGCGTTTAGAAACGCATAAAATAATATCTACTATTTTAGCAATTAATGTTTACACGAGAACATTCTCCAACGTATTTCGTACCGTTGTTAGAGGTTTCAGCAATTTCGGAATAGCCTGTAAATAGACATAAATACAAGTGTAATATCATCAAATAATGCATGACAGAACTGTTACAATACAAGTGTTAAATCTAGTTTTCAAAACATTTGTTGGTATTAGGAATGCAAGTGGCTTATTCATAACTTCATTTTTATAGAAATAAATTTACTTAAAATCTGAGATATGCTTAGCATGAAATGAAATGGAGATAACGAACAGTATTCAAGATCAAAAAGTCCATACAACATGACAAACTAGTAGCAGAGCAAACATGGACCTCCCGAACTATTTTTAAAATTTGTGCGTACCTGGATGACTAACTGCGGTTAGTGTAACATTTGAGTTAGGTGTCCATTCACAATTTGGATCTCCCATCTCTACGCCATTTGACCTTCCGTCATCGTCTGAATCCATCTGGCAAAGTTTAGTCCAGTCCTGATCGTTCCAACTAAAGTGCTAGAAGAAGTATAATATTGATATTACTTAAAAGAAAGTTAACATATATCATTAGAATGGTGGTCATCTCAAAGGACCCCACTTTCAGTAACAAACATGAAAATGTAAGGTAGCTGAAAAAGATTTATTTCCAAGATGAGCATGTGTGTACTATCAAGAGATGTGTTGTTTTAGCATTACACCGAGCAAAGATTTAAACAGAGAGGCTATTTTTGACCTTGACCCAGACCTAAAAACATCATTCAAGGTTACTGCACATCCATTGACCTGTGTCACTCTGTGAGTGAAATAAATGAGTTTCTGTACTTGTCACGATATTCGAGTCACAATACACTGTAAACAACTATGTTGAATTGGTTATATAGTTTCTTTTGAATTGAAATGAACCAAACATTTCGTCACATAGGTACAATGTATAATCGATCCTTAGTTGTGTATCTGATGTAAAAAAAAATTATTTTAAAGAAGTGATGTGAACAATATTAATATATTTTAAATCCTACATTTAAAATCTTACGTCAACAGATAAACATAAGTCAGATTTTTTTGGGCGATATTTTTTCATGATTATCGATATGCGCATCGTCCTCACAGAATTGTAAAGATCGATATATCGTCCCAGCCTCCCTGCAATTGTTGCAACTTTAATTCCGCATTAAAAACTAACAAAACATTTCATTGCTCTATGAAATTAAGATATATTGATGAAGATTATATTTTATATTACAAATCTGAACAGAACTAAAATTCTTCAATAATTAAATAATTCTATCTTTACTATTCTTTGAAAGAAAAAAAAAGTATTTCATCGATAACTTGTCATATTGTATAATTGATAAGGAAAGTAGAATGACTTACAGAGCCGAAGATGTTTCTTTCGTGGAATATCCCCGTTATCACCTTCTTATCAACACATACTTCATGTCCTATATATTTTATACTATATGTGTGTTCCTCGTTTGAGCCATTTCTACACAAAAATGGCACTTCGTTAACAGGCAGATTAGCGAGATAACCAGGATAACTAAAAACGCACAATATCGACACTGCGTTTACGACGAAAATAAAAACGTGTTTCATCATTAAAGAAATTGACAATTTTCTGTACCTTGTTTTTATTAAGTATAAATTGAGTTGTCAATTATAAGATGTTCCTCCCATTTAACGATGTATGCAAGTTGTATGACGTATGTTAATGAGGCCGTGGCAGATTTTCTTTCTGACAAATGAAATGTTCATTACGCATTCTCTTGTCACGTTTGGCCAGTCATAACATTGACTGCATGCGTCAGAAAAAATACATTTGTAAAGATGTTTTTATTAAGACCTTTTTTCAAAAAAAAAGTCTTCAAATCCTCGAAAACCTCAACTGGAAAAGGTTACAAGAATGCAGGATGGAATATAGGTCACTTAAAACGTGCGTAAATTTGATAAATGTTTGCAATTGAAATTATTAACGAAATAGTTTTTGACTTAATTTAAAGCAAATATAAACCAAAACCCACGGGAAGCGAGACAGCGACTAATAATATATGTCAATGAAAATCAAGGTGAAATGAATAATTATTTATTATTTTATTAGAATTAATTATCCATTCAAACGAGTTTTAAAATTTCCGAATTTCTTCTAGCAAAAGTCAGTCGACAACGTGGCGTAGTGGTAAGAGCGTCTGCTCTCTAGTCGAGGAGTTGATCCTTACGTCGCGGGTTCGAATCCCCATTGGGACTGGAGACTCATTCTAAGGATGAAGCTGTATATACCGAGGCCCCAGTTGGTGCTGGTACAAAAAAATCCCTCACTTTTCACGGATTGTAAGTGCCGATTATTGAACATAATTTGCAGTCCAGCGGCAAGTGGAGGCGTCTCCAAATGAAGGAAAAATTCTCGAAATGGATGTTAAACAACATACCAAGCAAAATACAACAAGAGATGTTTGTAAAACACTTATGCCCCCCTCCCCCAAATTGGAATTTTCCAAGTCCAAAAGGGCATAACTCTGTCAAAAATGGCGCGATTGTACCCAAAACAGAACTTGACCAAGATAGTCATCTGATAAATCTATATACCAAATTTCATTTCAGTATGTACAACCTCTGCAAAGAAAATGAATGGAAACTGCAAATAATAGGAATTTTTCTAAGTCCAAGGGGCATACACATGTAACTCTGTCAAAAATGGTGCCATTGTACCAAAACAGAACTTGTCCTAGATATTCATGTGATATATCTGTATACCAAAGGTCATTTCAGTATGTACAACGGTTGCAAAGAAAATGAACGGAAACTGCAAATAATTGAAATTTTTTTAAGTCCAAGGGGCATAATTCTGTCGAAAATGGTGCGATCGTACCCAAAACAGAACTTGACCTAGATATTGATGTGATATATCTGTATACCAAATTTCATTTCAGTATGTGCAACGGTTGCAAGGAAAATGAACAGAAACTAAGTTGACCGACAGACCGACCGACCGACAGACAGCAGCAAAGCAATATGCCCTTCCTTCTTCGAAGGGGGGCATAAAAAGAGCCCAAGTCGATATACCGATACTGAAAAAATCGATATATACCACGGCTTTTTCAGCATTCAAAACAAGGCCCTTTTCTGTCATTTTTTTACGTCGAGAAAGAACGAGGGCGCTTTTGATTGGCATTCGGCAGGAATCTGGGCGTAATTAAAAAGTGAAAATTTTGTCGACATGTCACATGAAATTTTAACATTTTTCTTATCTATCGGGTTCCTATGCAACAGGAAAGGAAAATATTTTCCAGAAATTGAGCTTTGGTTTGCTGAAAAATAACTTGAAAATTGGCCAGATCAGACATTTGGTACAAAATGGTACATTTTTAAACACGTTTTTCTAAAATTTTTCTATCTCTGGGTCTTCTCTCCATGATTTTGAAACGTTATTTGTGTGTATTTTAGTTCAAAGAAACGAATACACTTTCTTAAAAAATGGAGAAAAGACCCAGAGACCACAAAAAACGAACTTTTCCCCAAAAAATCCAAATGTGTGAATGTGGTGCTTCTTTGTCCTTTTAAAATCCTCTGTTTATGTGTAGCGGTGATAGCTCAGTAAGTTGGGCTACCTGTTCAGTGCACTGGAATCGTAATGTTTTTGGTTCGAGCCTGGCATGGGGCGTTAATTATTTTTTTTCATGCAAACAACCATTTATTTTGTCAGTTTCGTTTTATTTACTGATATATTAAAATTTTAAATTAGATTAATTTTGGTTCAGTTTGGTTCTCGAGCGAAATCAATTCTAATCTTCTATTCTATATAATGTACATGTACACGTATCATGCATCTATATGCATTAAATATTTTAGGTGTTTATTTTTTGTGAAACATTACTATGTTATAGTACCCCCTAGGAAAAACGGACAAAAATATCATAATCTCACACTTTCAAACTAATTGAAAAAAAAACCTATGGACGTGTTTGTAAACTCTGACAAGCTATGTTCAGCCAACCAAATCATGGACATTTAAACCATAAATGTTTCGTACAAATGATTCCTGCAGATCACACGCCAAATGCGCCCATCTTCTTTCTTGTAGAAAAAGGAAAGTTAATTGAAGTGAATTCACCATATCACATATTGATTTTAATTTCATTTGGCGTAGATAACATCATTTATCATTCCAGTACATAGCTGCAGATCTGTAGCTCGCTGGTACAATAAAATTGGATGGGCAATCAGAGACCTGTCGAGATTTTTTAGCTCACCTGAGCCAAAGGCTCAAGTGAGCTTTTCTGATTACATTTTGACCGTCTGTAAACTTTTCACATTTTTGACTTCTTCTCAAGAACCACTCGGCCAATTTTAACCAAACTTAATACAAAGCATCCTTGAGTGCAGGGAAGTTAAAATTATAACCAGAAGTCTCTGTCGAGACTGAAGCTCTACTGGTTTGTACTTAAAACAAATGAAGAGAAAAGTAGCAGTTCGGACTTGAAACTTTACAAAAGAAATATATAGAACAATGATGCTTGATTAAGCTCTTTTTGTGGCAAGATATTGCAATAAGACTACAGTTGTAGCTTTTAATACACTACAGTATTTTCAATTTTAGTAACCATGGCAATACTGTTCATCGAAATCAAAAACCGATACACAGAATTAAGTATCTTAATGTAGTCTACTTGTGAGCCAAGTTATATTGAAATCAAACCAAAACTGTAGGAGAAGTAGCATTTTGAAAGTATTTCACAGAAATTTCTATATTAAGTAACCAGAACAACACCGTTCATCGAAATCAAAAACCGATACACAGAATTAAATATCTTAATGTAGTCTACTTGTGAGCCAAGTTTTACTGAAATCAGACCAAAACTGTAGGAGGAGTAGCATTTTGAAAGTATTTCCCAGAAATTTTATTTTTAGTAACCACGGCAGCACCTTTCATCGAATTCAAAACTGATACAAAGAATTATCCATCGTAGTGTAGTCTACTTGTGTGCCAAGTTATATTGAAACAAGTAGAGCTTTTTTAAAAAGCTTCCCGTCTTTAGCAACAATCTTAAACTGTAAACTGATCTACACCTATCAGGCCGTATAATTCTTTTGAATTTCTTGATTTTGTATTTCTACATTAGCTTTTTACTGGCATTAGCCCTACCACGATTGTCGCTCGGTCATCTCCGTAAACTTTGACTCGCCGAGAGCTTTCGGCAAACCTCGGCTGATTCCATTTCCTTCTTCAAACAAGAAAGGGGAAAAGAATAATAACAAATTGTAAAGCCTGCAAGCAATAAAAATCAAATTTTATTTATAATGAAGTTAAAGAGATCTTTTTATTTTTTGCTATACAAAAAATCATGTTATTAGGAATTAATTACTGCTGATTTTGTTGTTCGTTTTGTCATTTTTTTTAAAGATTGAAAATCTTGCAAAATTGTTAAGTCGTACGAAAATTAGATCATCAGAAAGTTATCTCCCTTGCCTTGAACAGCATTTCAACCAATGAAATAATTGAAAATTTTCTCATCATGCATTTTCTACCAATCACAAAAGAGAGGAAGTGCATAGTCCGAAGACTGTAAAAAACTTCAACTATACAATACCGTCTTCCAAGGAAGACGGTAATCAGAACAAAAACTGTTGGAGGAGTAGCATTTTGAAAGTATTTCACAGAAATTTCTATTTTTAGTACCCACGGTAACATCGTTCATCGAAATCAAAAACCGATACAAAGAATTGTGTATATTAGTGTAGTCTACTTGTGTGTGAAGCTATATTGAAATCGGATCAAACCTGTAGGAGGGTTAGCATTTTGAAAGTATTTCACAGAAATTTCTATTTTTAGTAACAACGGCACCACCGTTCATCGAAATCAAAAACAGATACAAAGGATTATGTATCTTAGTATAGTCTACTTTCTTGGCAAGTTATATTTAAATGAAACCAAAACTGTAGGAGTAGCCTTTTTGAAAAATTGCTAACAGACAGACAGACGAGCGGACGCCGTTCGCATTACTATCGCACTAGTTCTCTCACCAGTAGAGCTAAAAATGACAGGCCAAGTCAAGAAAAGACAAAAAGTGTTGTCATTTCCTCGAGAACCACTGGGCCTGCAGAAACTATTGTTGACACACCAGTAGAGCTAAAAATGACAGACAAGATTAACATTGAAATATATAGGAACAAAACATTAAAAAGTCCCCTCACTGAAACTTATGTGGAAAGATGGAGTAGTGTAGATTCTAAATTGACAAAAAGTGTTGTAACCCAACACATTTCAAAAATCTTCGTCGATAGATATACCACTGGGCTGTTTCATACTTGGATAATGAAAAAAGATATTAAGAAACTATTGTTGACACATCCTGAGATAGTATATATATTCTAAATAGAACAATTTCAAATCATGACCCAAGTTGAGGTAGGGTTTAAAGGGTCAGCAAATACAATTTATCAAATCAAATGCTGTACGTTTTTCATACTAAGTCTTAGTTCATTATTTATAACATTGAAATATATAGGAACAAAACATTAAAAATCTTTCTGCTCCTGTTTTATATTGTTTTATGAAACTTTGATATTGAATACTGTTCGTTATCTCCATATCTTTCTTCCATAATTTCAGCTTTGCTGGCACAGTGGTTCTTGAGAAGA